TGCGCTCGACCATTCGTCCCTGCAGCCCGCGCGGAAAACAGGAAAACCTTGAAATCTAGAAAACGATCAATATCAATACTTCATGCTCCTCTGAATAAATGCAGGGTCGCAGCGCCAGCGTCTTCTTGTAGTCTACAGGGCGGGCCGCGGACTCCATGGCGCGCGGCGCTTTCTGCCGGTTGCAGCTTCTTGATCGGGGCCGAGCAAGTGGCGGGGCCCCGCCCGCCAGGCCAGCGCGCAGTTAAGATGGGTGAGTCTGGGCCCTTGCGCGGGGGCGGAGGAATTATTTCGCTGATTCAGAAAGCAATTTCGGGGCGCCCCCCGGGGGGGCGCCGCGACCCGCCCGCGGGCCCGCCGGCGGCCGGCCGGGCGGACCTCCGGCGGGCCCGGGGTCCGCGAGAGGTGGCGCGGCCGGCCCAGCCTTGCGCGCGCTGGCGCGGCCCCGGGCCCCATTTGCAAAACGCGCTGGCGCGGCCGGGCCCATATTTAGAGGCCTCCTAGATGGGGTCCGAGTAGATGGGGTCGGAGGATGGCGCCGCATCGACGATACATCGACGATGCATCGGCGATGCATCGGCGATGCATCGGCGATGCATCGGCGATACATCGGCGATGCACCAGCGATGCATCGTCGACGTCAGCGATGAATCGGCGACGTCGACGTGAAGCAAATCGGGCTCCACATCCAGCCGCATCGGCGATGCATCGGCGATGCGGCGCGCTCCTTGGACCCCATCTACTCCAGCCCCATCTAGGAGGCCTAGAATATTTGCACGCGCCGGCGCGGCCGGGCCCGGACGTGCAAAGCGCGCCGGCTCGGCCGGGCACGGCCTTGCGCCGCGCGACGGCGCGGCCCCGCTTGAGATGCTAGTGCGCGCCAGCGCGGCCGGCCCAGGTTCGCAGAGCGCGCCGGCGCCGCCTGGCCCGGAACTCCCGCGCGCGGCGCCTCCGGGCGCCAGCGGGCCGCCGGAGGGGGGGTAAAAAAAGCTACTTGAAAGCTACTTGAAATAGAGGAAAGAGAACTATGCACATACACCGATTCTGGCCAGACCCATCCTGAGCCCAGGATCGGTGCATACGCCCTCCTACCTTGGCCAGGAAGGCATATGCACCGATCCTGGGTCAAGGATGGGCCTTGCAAGGATCGGTGCATGTGCATAGTTCTCTTCGCCCGATTGAAAGCTACTTCAACGCTACTTTTCTCCCAGGGCGCCCGCGGGTCCCCCGGGGGGGAACTAAAACAACGACTTCCCCGAGCTAAACGAGCTACTTGGAAGCTGCCCAAAAGCTAGTTGAAAGCCAGAAAAAACTACAGCTAGAAAAACCTACCTTTAGCTACAAAAAGCTAGTTTAAGCTAGAAAAAAGCTAAACAAAAGCTGGAGCCAGCGCGGCCGGTTTGGATTTTCAAAAAACGCGCCGTCGCAGCCCTGGCCCGATTTGCGAAGCGCGCCGGCGCGGCCGGGCCAAAAGAAACAATGGCGCGCCGGCGCGGCCAGGCCGACGATGAAACGCTCCGGCGCGGCTGGGCCCGAATGCGCGACGCGCGCCGGCGCGGCCGGGCCCGGCGCGAGCGATGGGCGCGGGGGGAGGGAGGGGGCGAAGAAGAGGAGGAAGGGAGGAGGAGGAGGAGGAGGAGGAGGAAGACGGGGGAAGGGGAGGAGGAGGAGGGAAGCGGGGGAGCAGCGAGCAGGAGGGGGAGGGTGCGGGGGCGGCGGAGGAAGACAACGACGGCGAAGGGAAAGGGGCGGGAGCGGCGGGCGAGGGGTTCGCGGCAGGAGAGGGCGCCGCCGCGGCACGGCGAGATGGGCGCGCGACAGGTAGAGGGGGGGGGAGGTCGGACGAAAGAGGAGGAGGATGAGGAGGAGGAGGGGCCAAGACGAGGAAGGGCAAGGCTGGTGAAGGGGTTGAGGAGGGAAAGGTGAAAGAGTCATTGGGGTGTGTCGCGTGCAAAACCGCGCCGCGACCATCGCCGTGGCGTCTCGTGCAGAACCCGCGCGGCAGTCCCAGTTGATTTACTGGCGCGCGGGGCCGTGGTTTGATTCGGCGCGTCGCCGCCGCGGGTTCGACGTTGCCCATCCCGCGCGCGCGCGTTCCCGTCGTTTCGGGAGCTAAACAGAAGCTAGTTTTAGTTATCTCGGAAAGCTGCTTTCTCCTAGTTTGTTCTTTCTCAGATTGCTGTCTTGATCCCCAGCTGTCTAAGGCCATCCAGAGTCACAACACCCGTCCCACTCGACTGACCAGAACTGCTGTCACCCAAAGAAAAACCTGGTAGGCTGGATGCGGTTCAGCGCTTCTGGTTCATTGCTGGGGCTTCGGAGCCAAATCACGAACCTGCTCCACTCATCCAAGGTCCTGGCTGGATCCGATCCTCCTCCTCCTCCTCCCCCTCCTCCTCCCTCTCCTCCTCCTCCTCCTCCTCCTCCTCCTCCTCCTCCTCCCCTCCTCCTCCTCCTCCTCCTCCTCCTCCTCCTCCTCCTCCTCCCCTCCTCCTCCTCCCCCCCTCCTCCTCCTCCTCCTCCTCCTCCTCTCTCCCTCCTCCTCCTCTCTCCCCTCCTCCTCCCCCTCCTCCTCCTCCTCCTCCTCCTCCTCCCTCCTCCTCCTCCTCCTCCTCGTCCTCCCCTCCTCCTCCTCCTCCTCCTCCTCCTCCTCCTCCTCCCCCTCCTCCTCCTCCGTCCTTCGCGCCATCCTCCTCGCCCTCCTCGTCGCCCACTTCGTCCTCCGCACCCTCGTCCGCCCGTGACGGCGGCTGCCGCCGCCCTCCTCGACCGGCGCGCCGCCGCCGCCGCGGCCGCCGCCCCGGGCGGCTGGGCTGCCGGCGTAGCGATGCCGCCCGCCGCGAAGTTGACGACGGGCAGCTTGCCGTCCTTCTTCACCTCGCGATTCGGAGAGGGGCCAAAGTGCGGGCGCGGCCGCAGGAGGCGTTCACGAGAGAACCAAAACCCTGAAGACCCGCGCGCGAGGTGAAAACCTGAGCGTTCTGAACGCAGCAGCTTCTTCAACGGCTGCAGGAAGTCACCGCGCAGCGCGCGGGGCGAAAAAAACCAGGGCACCTTGACGAAGAGCAGATGGTTTCTTGACGCGCGCCCCCACTGTACGCTACGCTACGCCATTCCCGATCGGCACTGAGGCCGTGTGCTGCTACAGGCTGCGGGGCGGAGGAAAACACCATGGAAGGCATTTCGAATCAGAGAACGTAGCAGTGGCAGGCCATCAGTCATTATTCGACTGCGCCTGAAAAAAATCACGCCGGTTGCCGCTCTGAAAGCAAGCGATGTCAGCGGACCAACATCTGCTTGTCTTGCGGGCAGTGTGGGGGGGGAGGGGGAGGCCCTGAGACGCGGGCATCGTATCTCTGTCACGCCGGGCATTTTCGCCCGGCTTCGGGCCCCCGGGGCCATCACAGATCGATCCAGCTCGGAAGGTGCTGCAGGAAGACGGGGTCTGGGGGTCCCGTGGTGAGTTCTCGAGATGTCGCCTTTTGTTTCGCAACGTCGGATCCCAGGGGAGGGGGGAGATCCTCCCCGAGGAGGAGGAAAGCCAGGAAGGCAGAGAGCGAGGAAGAGAGCCCTCATCCCTCACCCTCCCTCCTTCTCCCCCTCACCAGTATTCTTCTCCTCCTGCTCCTCCTGCTCCTCCTCCTCCTCCTCCTCCTCCTCCTCCTCCTCCTCCTCCTCCTCCTCCTCCCGCTTCCTCCTGCCTCCCTCCTCCCTAGTCTCCCTCTCCTCCTCCTCCTCCTCCTCCTCCTCCTCCTCCTCCTCCTCCTCCTCCTCCTCCTCCTCTCCTCCTCCTCCCCTCTTCCTCCCCCTCCGTCCTCCCTCCCCTCTCCTCCTCCTCCTCCTCCTCCTCCTCCTCCTCCCTTCCGCCTCATCCTCGTCCGCATCCTCCTCCCTCCTTATCCACTCTCCTCCTCCTCCTCCTCCTCCTCGTCCTCCTCCTCCTCCCTCCTCTTCTCCTCCTCCTCCTCCATCCTCCTCATCCTCCTCCTCCTCTTCCTCCTCTCCCTCCCCGTCGTCCGCATCATCCTCCCTCCTTATCCACTCTGCTCCTCCTCCTCCTCCTCCTCCTCCTCCTCCTCCTCCTCCTCCTCCTCCTCGTCCTCCTCCTCCTCCTCCTCCTCCTCCTCCTCCTCCTCCTCCTCCTCCTCCTCCTCCTCCCCCTTCTCCTCCTCCCCCTTCTCATTCACCTTTCCCGTGCTCTTCACGATTCACCTCCTCCTCCCCTCCTCCTCCTGCTGCTGCTCCACCGCCCCACCCCCTCTACCTCCTCCAGAACTCCCCTCGGGCCGCCGCCCTGGCCCGAGGCGGCACGGGCTCGGCCGCGCATGTGGGCGCTCGGGGACTCGGCGGCGCACGGCCAGGGCGCCCGAGGCCTGCACCGGCACAACGCCCTGCTCGGCCGGACCTTGCCCAGAGACCGACCGTCTGGGCATCCCTGCAGGCCTACGGCGAGTTCGTGTCGTGCCGACCCCAATGTTGGTTCCTGACAGGCATCCCTGCAGGCCTACGGCAAGTTCGTGTCGTGCCGACCCCAATGTTGGTTCCTGACACTGCGGGGATCGTTCAGCCTTGAACAATCGGCCGTTTCGGAGACGTCGGGTCGTCCACCATCGACCGATTCTGGGTCGCTGGCGGTGTTCAGAGCTAAACGCCGGCGGCGCGGTCGCCGCCAGTCGACACGACGCGAACCTACCGTACCACGAAGGGTTCTTAGAGTCCCAAAACATGTTCTGATGACAAAAAACTGAACGGGTCTCAGCCAGAACTGCTCTGCGAGCATGCCTTGCAAAATACCAACATTCTTTGGTGGGCCTATGGCCTTACAGGCGGTTCTGAGCCCTTCGCCACTGCTTCATCTGAGGGCCCGCCATCTCGTGGGTCAACGCAGGGGGTTGGCTCTTCATGGTCGCACGCATGCAGCGGAGGGCGCGGATGCTACAGCAGGTTCGCGTCGTGTCGACCCCAGCGTTGGTTGGGATGTTTCTGTCAAACTCGAATGATCGGCCGTGTCAAAAACGACGGATTGTTCAACGATGGGCCAGTTACGGGCCACGGGCGGCGTTCAACATTAAGTGCCCGTGCTATGGTCGTCGCCAGTCGACACGACGCGAGCTTTCCGTACAGGTGCACGATTGGAACTCACCCTTCCCATCGGGTGCGACGTGGAATGCGAACGCGGGTGCGTAGCAGGGCTTCTGGCACAACCGTTTCCGCCTCCACCGGGCGGCCTTCGAGGACATCATCCCCCAACCGCCAACGTCGTGGTTAGGAGCAGGGACTCAGCCGCAGGACACCTCATGCCAGGACTTACCCAACTGCGTCTCTCTCGTTCCAGCCCCCGCTATCCCCGTCTATCATCGCCGCACAGGGCCAGATCCAGTGCATGAGTCCACGGCCGTGGTCAAGGAGTCCAGCAGCAGGCGGCTCAATAAGCTGGTGGAATTCCGTGCGGGAGTTCCAACTGGATATCAGGAGAACCACGCTGAATCTCAGTCCAAGGACTTCAGCAAGGAGTCGAACGGCTCTGGACAGGCGCCAGGGTCGGTGCCCTCCTGGAAGTCGAACGGCTTGGCGATGTCGCCCCAGTACTGAGCAAGAGCGGCAGCCCACCTATCGGGATCCTGATTCACAGTCCCGTTGGAGTCGACAATGCCACGCAACTTGAGCTTACGATAAGCAGGGGCCCAGCCACGGGCTAGTGCAGTAATCATGTTGAGTCTCGTTTCTTCGGTTTTAGTGGTGAATACCGATGTCCCCCGCCACCGCCTCGCTCGCCTCCTCATAACATGTCCTTTCAAGCCCTATGAGTGAGCCCGTAAAGCCAGAGAAACCGAACCAAACCATATTCATAGAATCATAGTGCCCTGCCAATTGCGAAAACGCACGGAGGAGGGCGAGGAGGGCGAGGAGGAGGAGGGCGAGGAGGAGGAGGGCGAGGAGGAGGAGGGCGAGGAGGAGGAGGAGGAGGAGGAGGAGGGGAGGAGGAGATGGAGGAGCGAAGAGGATCGAAGGTTTCTGCGGTTGTGTGTTGTGTGTGTGTTCTTCGACCTTGAGAGCCCCGCCCCGGCGCCCCCTCCTGAGCATTCTCTTGGGGTGGAGGGCTCAGGGTGAAATCCACATGGGCTCCTGCGCCTCGAAGACCAGCCCGTCTTGGACTCGCCTCTCGCAGACTCAAGCCTCGAAGAGCCATCGAAACGGCACTTCAGCGTTCACCCTGTGTGAAGGGGCCCTGGGACACACAAATACATACACACAAAGAACCAGGCTCCCCATATTTTCGCATGTTTTCTCGGGCGTTGTCTTCCCCCCCCCAACTTCCCATATTTTCCCATATCTTCCTGGGAGAGGACGATGACTTCTGTCTGTGTGTTTTTTCCCCTCCTGACTTTGCCCTCCACCCGAAGAAAAATCGGCTCGGGCGAAAGGGGGGGAAAGCAAAAGGGGGGTTTGAGAATCAGCCCACGTAGCTGATTTTCCCGGCGCCTCCCGGCGCCGGATGGAGCCATGCATCGAGGGAATGGGCCCCTCGGTGAGGCCGATACCAGCTGCCTGCAGCAAATTTCGTACCCCCCCCGTTCCCAATCCCCCCCTTTCGCCCGGCCCGAAAGAAGCTCGGCCCTCGCCGACGCCTCGGACCGCCGCCCCCCCCCCAACTTTTCCCATATTCTCCCATCTTTTCCTGGGAGAGGGCGATGAATCTTGTCTGTGTGTTTTTTCCCCTCCTGACTTTTGCCCTCCACCCGAAGCAAAAGCTCGGCCCTCGCCGACGCCTCGGACCGCCGTCCCCGGGGCCGCCGGCCCGCACCCGCCCTCCTGCTCCTCCCCCGGGCCCCGCCTGCTTCAGGAGCTCGATGGGGGCGCCGATCTCCTACGGCGGGGGGCGGCCCTCCTCCCACCACTTCGCCCTCTGTCTCCTCGCCCTCTTCTTCCTCCTCCTCCAACTCCATCGGTTCCTCCTCCTCCTCCTCCTCCTCCTCCTCCTCCTCCTCCTCCTCCTCCTCCTCCTCCTCCCCCTAATTCCTCCTCCTCCTCCTCCTCCTCCTCTTCTTCCTCTTCCTAATCCTTTCTGATCCATCCTCCATCGCCCCTCCATCCTCCATCGCCCCATCCCGCCTCCCGCCTACCCGTCCTCCTCCATCTCCTCATCTCCTGGCCCACCCCACCTGCCCTCATCTGCGCTGCTCGTCCTCCTCCCTCTGGGCGTCCCGCCTCCTCCCGCCTCCCACTCTTCCTCGTCATCCGCTCTCTCACCTGCTCTTCACCATCGGCGTCCTCCTCGTGCTCCAGCGCATGCTGCTCTTCCGCCTGCAAATGTTGAGCAGTCCCGGCCTGGTCCGCATCATCCTGTGTCTGGGCTTCGCGTTCGTGGTCGCCCCATCGCAAAACACCGTACTGCTGAGCATGATCATGATCCTCCCTGCCTCGTTGTTTCTTAGATCCATGGTCATCATCGGTCCTCCTCCGCCTGCTGCCTCAACCTCGTCTCTCCTGATCATTCTCTGCCGCCGTATTCCTCCTCCGGAGTGTGTGTGTATATATTTGTATATATATACCTACACACACACGTACACATAGACATAGACAGATGCGTGTGCACCCACAGCTACAACTGCATGCGGGGACAGCAATCGACCACAACCGCATCGAGGACACGCCCTCGGTGATGTCTCGTACCCACCGAGACCAACCTGGCACTGGTTGTGGTCAGTTTGACGTCGGAGGACGGCCAGCTCAGGCACACAACCACAGCCGGAGCACTGATGTCGAGGTCGGCGGGCCCTCCCCCGAGGGACCCTCCGGAAGCATCCACTGAGCTGTGGTTGTGATTCTGTGCTGCGCCCTGGCCAGATCTGCATCTACAGCTCCCGCACGAGCTGCACACATACTGCGAACTGCGAACTGCGACCCGCGAGAATGCACCGCCGGGTGCCACACAGAACTGCAACTAACTACCACTACAGATGCACACGCATAACACCTGCACGTACACATACACATACGCATACACCTATACATTTTGCAGCGCATGCATCCGCAGTTAGGGTCACGGTCCATGAGGGGCACAGAGATAAAAAGGCGATGGTCCCATCCTGCTGAGGTTGCGCTACCCACATTTCCCGGGAAACGTCGCCCCTGCACGCTCCGAAGGCCAAGCCAGCCGGCGGAGCGCGAAGGGGTGCGAGCGCAGCACACGGGGCCGCAAAGCGAGGCCCGGACGGCAACGCAAAGAGAGGGGGCGCAGTGGGAGGGGGCGCAGTGGGGGAGACAAAGGGAGCGCAAAGGGGGGGCGCAAAGGGGGCGCAAAGGAGGGCGCAGAGGGAAGCGCAAGGAGGGGAGCCAGATCGTGAGCGCCACTTTCACAGGCGAGCTCTGCGCGGCACAATCGCGAAAGCTGCATGCTCGTCCGCTCGCGCGAGGGCAAGTCGGCGTGCGAAGCATGCGCGCCTCGACGGAACGGGAGCCCGGCTCTCTGGGGGAAATGAACGCGGTGCCAAAGCGAGAACAACGCTTCGCCCTTTCGAGCGGGATGCGCGCTCCGTCGTGCAACGCAGTCTGCGACGCGGACGGCAGAACGTCCATACTGAGAGCTCAAACTCAGTTGTCGGGGATGGACAGACCTCCCTTTAGTAAAACGTGGTTTAGTGAAAACGACCTCGGGCCCAAACCTGGGCGGCGCAAGCCTGGAAAATAACGGCCGCGGCGCCCTCTCGAGAACCGAAAACGGACAATTCACTAATCGACGTGTCACTATTGGGGGTTCTGTCCAGCCCCGAAGTTGCCGAAGCAGCGCTTGCACTCAGAGGCACTTACTCTGCTGAGTTAACAAATTGGACGGGTCCAGCGAAGATGTTCCACGCTCCTGCCCGTGGGCGCTCGTGTGCGCCCCGTGCCCTGCACGGTTTCCCCTGGGGCCGCAGGCGACCCGAGGAGGAGGAG